TACAACAAATTGTAGAATCACTGCAAATCATCTAACCCTAATAATAATGACTGACTGAACTACTCATGCAATTCAGTAGAGATACAACAAATTGTAGAATCACTGCAAATCATCTAACCCTAATAATAATGACTGACTGAACTACTCATGCAATTCAGTAGAGATACAACAAATTGTAGAATCACTGCAAATCATCTAACCCTAATAATAATGACTGACTGAACTACTCATGCAATTCAGTAGAGATACAGCCTCTAAACTCGGCCACCATTGATCGGCTTCAAATCTACTGCCAAACCAGTTCTTCAAGCAATCCGATACATTTGTATCCATTTCAAATGAAAAACAGCAGTAGAAACAACATATTGGTAAAGATTAAGCTTGCTCACACAGGAATAGGCTCTGGTAATGATTCTGGAGGAGCACCACTGCTACCGTTGAGGACGGTCACGTTTCCATCAGAATCAACATCAACGATGACTGAATTGCCCTCTTTGATCTCACCAGCAAGCATCTTCTCAGCCATGCTATCCTCCAAAAGTCTCATAATGGCTCTTCTTAGCGGCCTCGCACCATAGCTTGGGTTGTATCCTTCCTCAACCACCCTGTCTCTAAATCTTTCCGTCACTTGAAGCTCTATTTCCTTGCCTTTAAGCCTCTCAAAAACTTCCTTCAACATTATATCAGCAATCTCCTTCACCTCAAGTTTGGTGAGCTGCCGGAATACAATCATCTCATCCAACCTGTTCAAGAACTCTGGTCTGAAATATTGTTTCAGTTCTTCTGTCACCAAGCTCTTGATTCGGTTGTAACTGCTATCCTTCTCATCATACTCGAGATCAAAACCAATACGACGGCCACCCTTCTCAATCACACTACTTCCGACATTAGATGTCATAATCAAAAGTGTGTTCTTAAAGTCCACAGTTCTGCCCTTGCTGTCTGTCAACCTTCCATCCTCAAGAATCTGAAGCATCATGTTGAAGACATCAGGATGAGCCTTTTCAATTTCATCGAAGAGCACAACAGTGTAAGGACGGCGTCGAACAGCCTCGGTTAACTGACCACCTTCAGTGTAACCAACATAGCCAGGTGGTGAACCAATGAGCTTCGAGACAGTGTGTCTCTCCATGAACTCACTCATATCCAGCCGGATCATGGCTTCTTGTGAGCCAAAGTAGTAGGCAGCTAGTGCTTTTGCCAGTTCAGACTTTCCAACACCAGTTGGCCCAGAAAAGATGAAGCTAGCAATTGGTCGGTTGGGGTTCTTAAGCCCAACACGGGCACGCCGGATAGCACGGCTAATGGCTTTGACAGCTTCATCCTGACCAATGACTCGTTTGTGGAGGGTCTCTTCCATCTTAAGGAGGCGATCTGATTCATCAGTTGACACTTTCTCAACAGGTATACCAGTCCACGAAGAAACAATGTGCTGAATATCAACTTCCGACACAACAGGGCCACTATCCCCTGCCTCAGTCTCCGCCTTGCTCATCTCTTTGTTTTTGTCTATAAGAGCAGATATCTGTGCTTTAAGATCCATTTCCCTATCGCGTAACTCACCAGCCTGTTCACGAATATAACCACCGCTGAGCTAACTGGATAAAGCTGTACAGAAAAGATACACCTATGCCATCCTAAACAGCTAAGACACTGCCAAAATTTTGTTAAACAGTGATTTCTATCGAACAGAATTTATTGGTGTTCAATTTCTCTGAAAGCCAAGTTGAAATTATGCATGAACAACTGCTTTATTATTTGATTTAACTCCCTCTAACTCAATTAAACATGACTATCTAACTGAAAACAAATCATTATGAACAAAAAATTTTAAGTACCTTCTCAAAATCTTGACTGCGGACAGCTTCATTCTTCTCCTTAGTGATCTGCCTGAGCTCTTTCTCAAGCTCTCTGGCTTCCTCTGGAAGCTGCAAGAGATTGAGAAGTCATTAGCTACTTAAAATAATAGAAAGGCAAATAATCTAAATGAATGCCAAGTTTGCTCGCACCTGTGCATGACGAAGTCGAACACGAGAACCAGCTTCATCAATCAAGTCAATTGCTTTATCAGGCAGAAAGCGGTCACTGAAGTTTGCAAACATACAACTATCAGGCACAGAACTGAGTAGGACGATGAGAACAAGTACTCAATGCCTGAATAGAATCATACACTGAAAGACACAGAACAAGTATACAAGAAGGCCTCACTGACCATGGAGCTGAAGCTAGATTCTTGATAAAGATTACACATGTATGAATAGCTGACATAAATGCTCAACTCCACCAAACTCATCCCCCCACCATTTACCTCTAACAAAACTTGATTTCCCACAGGAAGGACGCACGAGACTTTAATGGCATAAGCAGATGTAGCATCATTATGCTACATTTGTTAACCCGTACTAATTTAATTTTTCAAATGGCATGTCCATCGAACATCATCCTAAGTACAAAGTAAAACCGCTAAGTTGAAAACAAATTTTATCTCAGATAAGTTACCTGATATACTGGTAGGACAGCTGGGCTGCAGAAACTAAGGCTTCATCGGTGTAGCGGAGCTTGTGGTGAATCTCATATCTCTCTCGAAGCCCTTTCAAAATCTGTATTGTTTCATCCACAGTGGGTTCCGGGACTTTAACTGGCTGGAATCGTCTCTCCAGAGCTGGGTCTTTCTCAATGTGCTTTCTGTATTCATCAAGGGTGGTAGCCCCAATACACTGCACCAATTTACAGAGATACAAACATTTTTACCATGTATTAAAACAATATTAACTACCATTTTCAAATAACACATATATATGCCACATAATTTTTGAAGGGCCAAATCCATCTACATAACCAGAACTTGAAGGAAACAGAAACAAAGCTACAAGGTTAATAAAGTACATCTAACAGTCCAAACTAACCTGTAGTTCACCTCTGGCAAGAGCTGGTTTCAAGATGTTCGCCGCATCAATTGCCCCCTCTGCTGCTCCTGCTCCAATTAATGTGTGTACTTCATCAATAAAAAGTATAATTTCATCACTCTGTTTAATTTCCTCCATCAACTTCTTTAATCTTTCTTCAAACTCTCCACGATATTTTGTGCCAGCAACGAGGAGACCCATATCCAGGGTTATAACCTAGATAGCACCGGAAAAAAAAAAATAAAAAAAGGAACAGTGAACACAAATTATTCCCACATTTTACATATACAAATAAAAGGAAAGCAATAATGATACCCCATCAAGTGAAACAATATAGCATCCAAGTAGCATGCTAACATTCAATGGAATTGATTTCAAACTGTGTAATACCCATGGTCAACACATAAGATTCCAACATTCCACATTCATGCGACAATCTTTATAGTTGATATTAAAAGACCCAACACCTAAAATATTGAATTGTTGAGTTTAGCACCTGTAATAACATGTCCATCACCCACACTTGAACCCATGTAACATAGCCCATACCAGCATACATCTGAACTCCAGCAGGAACTCATACTTACTTTCTTTCCCTCAATTGTTTCTGGAACATCACCATTTGCAATTCGTTGAGCAAGGCCTTCTGCAATAGCTGTTTTTCCAACACCAGGCTCCCCAATGAGGCAAGGATTATTTTTTGTCCGCCGACCCAAAATTTGTGTTACGCGTTCAATTTGCTGCTGCCTTCCAACAACAGGATCCAGTTTACCCTAAAATGAAAGGAAACAAGATTAATTTCATTCTTACCACCAAAGGAAAACCACTTGTTCTCACACATAACAAGAACAAAAAAAGAAAGCATCTGTACATAAAAAAAAAAACCACTAAAATATGCAGATTACCTCCTCTGCCAACTTCGTTAAATTAGTACCATACTCCTCCAGCGTCGGCATCTTGTTGCCAGAACTTCCGCCTCCAACACCAGCACCAACAGCTTCTGCACTCTCGCCAACCATTCGAATAACCTACTTGCGCAATAAAGGCTTGATATTACTTATTACGTTGGAATTAAATTAAAGGGAAGCCCAACAGCAAAAATTTATGTTCACACACAAAGTAATAAAAGGTTTTAACGCTTGCCTGCGTGCGAATATTACTAGTGTCAGCACCTAAATTCTCGAGAACACGGGCTGCTACACCTTCACCCTCTCGCAGCAATCCCAGCAGCAAGTGCTCTGATCCAATATAATTATGACCTGTATAATAAGCGATGGGTTAGTGAAAAATCTTACATTTGTCCAAAAACTTGTTCGATACCAATCTATACTCATTCTGGCCTGGGCACATGCCCACAGATTTATATGTCAGAGATAACGTACCCATACACATATGCTGAGGAACCTAATATTTTAATGACCAAAGGAATACAATGATTAGCTAGATGATAATCAGGAACATAAAACAAACGAAACACTGAGCAAAGGGAATTTTATAGAAACAATAGGTCCAATTCTATTGCAAAGACCTTCATAAACAATGAGTCAACAGGGAGTATAAGTCGCACACACCAGCAGACCAAAGACTTTTGGGCAAGGTTCAGAGCTGACCTAGAGATTCAAAGGGGAACCCAACCCCCCCCCC